GATTGACAGGAGATGAAACGCTAGAGTCTGGAGAAACACTTGAGACAAAGGCTGTGGAAAGCAATGATCAAAACCTGCAATCACATCGATAGCATGCGGCGTTGATCCTCATCAGAGCTTTCATTCTCAACAGCATGGAGGGCTCAGATGGCCCGAGCTAGCAGCAACATGCTGCAGGAATCTATGGAGACAGTACAGTAGGAAATCAACGTAACGAGAAACGGCGAGCAACCAAAGAATTACGACATGCTTCCGTGGAATGCCCGCCATGCGGTCGCGAAGCATCGATGCGGGCGAAGTATGGCAAAGTCATGGTCGGGCCATCCTGCTTGCGGTGTCCTGGGTGTTATGTGATCCTGCCAGGACCATGTAATAAGCGAAACCTAACGCTTGAGAATCTGGGGATGATGACGTAAGTCCATCAGGAAATCGGTATCTAAAGCCAGACGAGCCTGAAGAACAAAAATCCAGATCGCTAAGCAGTGTCTGGCAAGCAGAAATGCACAGCATGGGCGGACAACGTCCCACAAGAGCTGAATGTGATTGTAGAAACGAGAACGCATGACAGGCGAACCAATCGGTTGTGTAAGGCTTTCATCAGACAATTCTGGCGACGCTAGCCCATCGAGACTGCAGGTGGGGCAAACGAAAGCCTGAAGCCCATCGAGTCCAGTTGCAGTCTAGGCTTGGCTCAAGATTAGATGTGGGGTTGGTGGCTCGCTGCCGCAATCCGGAGGTTGCAAGCCTTGCAAGCATTCCCTGCAGCAGAAGCCCTTAGGCCTCGTTGGCGGGGGCGCGGGAGCCTTAGCTTTTGCGGGCCGGCCAAAAGCGCTGGTGACCTGGCACAAGGCTTCGTGCAGGAGAGCGAATGTTGTGACTGGCACTATCAACCCGGAACGAGGCAACGACCATGAAAGTCAGAAGTTAAACGATTTTCACTTCAAGGCCGCGCTGCTTCGCATGGAAATTGTTTGTGCAGTGAGCTTTGCCATGCCATGCTTCCCGTGAGTCGTGCTGCTTGCGGCGCGAAAGCTCTGTCCTGATTGTGATAGTATTATACGTGGTGATGCACTAAATCCGAGCAGCACACGCCGGGAGCGAAGAGGTCTTCATCAGAGGATTCCTCGTCCTTCTTGGGCCCCTGCATGGCTGCAGCTGCAGGCTGCGCCGTTACGCATGCACAGTCACAGGATTCCGCTCGTCTGCGGCGAGGCCTCGCTTCCTCCATCTTTTGGAGCGTCGGCCACCGCGGCGGCCACGAAACCACTCTTCATCATCATCCGGTTGGGACCTGTTCGAGATCTTGCACCCACAGTCATGCACTGTTGGTTTCTCCATCATGCATCCTGCCTGCCCTCATTCCACCCGAAATTTTTTGACGGTTGAGCGCCTTGGATCGATGACTCTGCGACATCCAGCCATTCTTCAGAGAGTTTCGGCTTCCTGGGAGCCTCACGGCCAACTGGTCTGCCTCCTTGTCCAGCCGCTTGGCAAGATCCTGAGAAGGGAGAACAGGATGGAAGCAGGGAATGTTGTCGTGACCTTCAAGCCTTTGCTGCTGATGCTCCTGCTGATCCACAGGAGTCGATGGGCAAGACTTACCCAGAGAATGTACAGCAGTCAGGAACCAAAGCCCCGCTCCTGGACCGTCTCCTTTTGCCGCGAGGCACCGTCAAAGCCGAGGCCGAAGGCGCTCTTCTCCACCTCTTTGTGCGAGAAGAGAAGTCTCCGGGGGTCAAGAAGTCCCGAAAAAAGACACTAGCAATAGCAGGACCCTCCCTCGTTTGTAGCAGGACTCCTGAAGAAGGGACACCGAGTTCGAAGAACATGCCAACTTCATCCCACGCTTTTGCAGTTCCACCGCTTCCGTTGAAGTCCACTTGTCGTGGAGCTCGTATCCAGATTTGCACGGTGACACAATCAATCGAGGCTGCAGCCTTGCCAGCCCCCTTCTTCTTGCCAAGGAAGGTGCGCCCTTCAAGCTTGGCGGCCTCAGAAGTTCAAAGAGTTCAGGGAAGGGCCCTTCTGCTGCAAAAAATCTCCCAGGATCGCAGCCCGGAAGGGCCCGTGTTTCATGGCCAGCCCCTGTGAAGCTGTTCACTTTTGGGCCACACGTTGCTGCCGCTCCACACATCTTTCGGCCTTCAGGTCCTCCGGAACGGCCTGGTTGGCCTGCTCCAGGTTCTCCACCTGGGTGCGCACCGCTGCTGCTTTACCCTGCTCCTCATACTCGCTAGCCGCTAGCATGGCAGCTGAGGCCAGTGCTAGGAGAGCGGCCATCTTCTTGTTCTGATCATCGCCGGTCAGAAGAGTGTACGCCTGGACCATCCAAATCACTGTAGGCACTTGCTCTGCGACATGTCAGTTGGCAGTAGAAAGTGCTGTCTCTTTCCGCGCTTCGGTTCCATCAATGCCACCGCAACATTGTTTCGTCCAACTACTCAGATGCTCGTGTCTCTGTCTGTGCTGCCTCCCCTGCCGCGCCAGCGCGCCCGGTGCGGCCGATTCGATGGGTGTGCCTGGGCTTTGAAATGTAGTCGGAGGGCCTAGAGGTGCCGAGACGGACACTCGAAGAACCACTACAGAGGATATTGTTTCCCGATGTTCTCTTCTTGTCGGCCCACTTCTTTTCAAGGAAGCTCCTGCACCTTTATTGGACAAGTGCCACAACTCACCGTCTTTACCTAGCATGGGCTCGTGCCATCGCTAGCTTACAAGGGATGGAATACAAGAGCTGCGCCATGGTTAAGCGTTGGGCGTTTCAATGTCCCTGGCGGCGTCGTAGGACACCACGGTGGCAATCGAGGGCAGATCTAGACCTTAGCTTTTCCATGCGCACGCGGGAACAGTGCACAGGGTGATTGGGGAAAGGACCAAGCCACGCATGCTGCTTGCAAGACTGTCTGTCTTACAGGAAAGTGTGACGAACCTGCTCCCTCTTGTAGCAAACGACCTGAGCGAAGTGCCTCGCGCAGCAACGTCTGTGGCAATCAGCACATCCACCACTCCTTAGAGTAAAGTCTCAGCTCCGAGAACAGCATCGTCTCTGAGCCCCAATGGGGCATGATGGACCCGTAGGAATAGCATTGAGCAGCCTAGCGGCGCTTCCTCACGTTGCGCAAGATCCGCATCCGCTCGCCTGGCCGAGGGATACAGACGGAAAAACATCATGACAGTTCGTATAAGTATTAGTCTTAAGGCAACTAGTAAAGTTAAGGGTGATGACGATGATGCTACCTACTTGTCCAGTATCCTGTGGAATTAAAGGCTAAGCTTTGGGAGTATATTGGGATTATTAAGGGGTTGTGGTACCCTGAAAAAAAAGGATCAAGGTTACCTACTCAGAGAGAGAAGGGCTTCCACCACAACACAATTTTTGTTCAGGAACTTCAGCCTTGATCGAGGTCACCATGCAAGAATTCTGTTTTCTTCTCCAAGAAGTCCTGGAAGTTTTGGGAGAGCCTCATCAAAGGCGATTTTTGACTCCCTCGTGGCTTCTGAGCTGTGCTGAGAGTTATCCAAGCTGGCATCTTCAAGGCATCTTAAGTTCCTGGCTCCTCCGCACTTGCGATGGACTTCACGAAGACCAGCAACTGTACACCATGACAACGTGACACGCCAGCAGCAATCAAAGCGAGGAAAAATCTTTCCAATGCAAGAGAACAGACGCAGCGCGAGCCAACGAGCAGAGATGCACTCGTGTTTTACTATGCTGCCTGGCCCTTCTGCAGCATACCATCGACCCGCTTCGAGAGCCATGCCTAGGGGACGAAAGCGGCTTCGATGAGTCTGCTCTGAAACCTCTCCTCTCAACACATAGAGTCAAGATCGTCGAATCCGTCCAAAACCCCTAAGCACCGGGGCCCACTTCTCATCGTCGTTCTTCAAAACTTCGACGAACTGCTGCACATTGGCAGCTGCCTGTCATCAAATATGGTCACGGGAACACCACAGAAAGTAGCTGGGGCCGGACAAGCGCCATGGATCGCATCAGGGGCATGTAAGCAGTAAGCAACAGCTTTTAGCAGGAAACCCATTTGTGCGACAAAACGACATCTCCTGATCAGTTGCTCATGAATGAAGGCCGCCACAACAGCCGCAGCTGCCATAGCTGCTAGCTATATCAGCTAGATGCTGCCTGGCCAACCTCGCCGATCGTGATACGGACGGGCTGCTGCAGGATGTCGCCTGCACGTTGTCAGCCACATCAGAATGCAGAACCGAGCACGAAGAAACCCCGTACGGACATCTGCACAACATGAACCACAGCCACATTCAGATACTTTGGCATGAGATCTGTGCGAAAAGCCAAACGAGGACACAGCTGCAGTCATCCCATGCCGGGTAGACGGGCCAGCTTCTCGATCTTTGGCCTTGGCAGTTTTGAAGCTCGGGAGTACGGTACCGAGTTCCGACCTTCTGGGATCTCGTCTTCTGGATTGCACAGGAGTAACCCAGCAAACAAAAACAGGTTGCTCCTTCTTTGTTCAGAATCTACGACACCCAGTATTGCATTGGAAGCTGTGGACGCGCAGCAGGGATCGCAAGCCAGCATAACTTTCTGGATTAAAGCAATGACGCTTGGAATGTACAGGGTGAAACTCATTGTGAAACTTGCTGTACACGTGGGAAAAACGCTGGTGGCTTCTGTGCTGCGCAGCTGTACTCACAGCCTCAGAAAGGAAGGACCCTGAAGATCTCAACAGGAAGGGCCCCGATCGGTAGCAAGATGCTTGCTGCACACTCCGTTTGATGTCCGAGAGCTAAGACGCTGTTTTCTGCTTTCAGAAGACTTGATGCAGATGGTTCGAGAGGCTTGCGCCGGATTCGGCTTTTGATAGTGGGTTTAAGGACCCAAGAACCGAGCCGGCACTTCCTGCTGAGCTGGTCCAGCCAAATCATTTCACAGGCTGACAGAACTTGGCCGGATCCACGTAATTGGCCACTGCAGTGGCCAAGAGGTGCTCCTCGGATGTCTCAGGCTCCTAGTGTGACACACCCTAAAGAGTCGGGTTTGAGATTGTTGTCAACCCTGAGTCCAACACGTCTTCGGAAACACATTCCCCAAGCATTCAGCCATATTCGCAAGCAAGTCGCCGGCAGCTCATCTGGCTCCTTTCAATTATGTTCGTCGGGATTGCTTTGAGGAGGCAGTGTTACTTGGTCTGGCATGCAGGGTGGGCCCACGAAGGCAGGTGAGCCAGCGTCAAGAGATGCCTTGATGCTTGGGTTTTGGGTCATCCCCGCAGTCCTCGTTTGTCACTGCCCTCTTCCAATAACTGATGCGCGTGCGTGGCTATGACTATTGCTGTGGCTGATGAAGAACTACATTTCTACATTCCGACCAGCCCTGTGCAAAGATCCGCTTAACTCGTTCCAGAGTTTGGCTTGCTTGTCCACTCCTTTCGGGGTCCAGAGGTCAGGTTTGCTACCTTCATTGCTGGAGGGTTTGCCTGTTGACTGTCTATATAGCAGCTTTCCCCGGACGCTTCCAGAAGTAAAGACCAACCTGCAGGTGAAGTGATGAAAGTGCAAGCGGCATGTGTGCGAATGTTACATCCCCGTGCTGTGGAGCCTACTGGTACAGGTAGTTTACGACTCAGAAACTAGGTAATTCATACACCTAGCGCAACGCATCGCTGGTTGTGGTGAATAAAAGCGACAAAAGTCACACACTGAAAGAGCTCAGCAACATCACGGCTTCCTTAAGTTCTCTTCAGGCCTGGTTTCTTTGGAAAGCGAAAACGAAAACGGAGTGCTCTGAGACTTCGGGGAGCCTTCGCCTCCAGCAACAGCGCGCAGCTCAGAACAGCTCCGCGCATGGACTTCAAAACCACACCTGGGAGGCCGAAATTTGTCTGGGCCCTTAAGCTCAGGATTCAAAACAAGGATGATAATACTAAACGGCGAGTTCAAGAGCCTATAACGTGCTATTTACTCAGTCTTGTTTTCTGGAACAGCACCAGGAGGGAGGCAAACGGTTCAAAGGGTCAGGGCTTGATGCTGCGTGAGAGGGTTCATGGCGCTTTAACATGCCTTAAGAGCACACACACACACAAACACGTTGTTTTGGCCAGCGACGGACACTTAACTTATTCTTTTGTCTTTCTGTTCTAGTGGCAGTGCGTCTTGCGGTTCCTATTGGCTGTGTTCGGCCGTTCTTGCAGCGAAGTGCTGCCGCGAAGATTGTGGTGGCAATGGCAGTCGTGGCGTGAAGGCGGCAATCGTGCCGACGCACTACTGAGTGCATAAGAGGGAGACTGAGTGCATGGAGGTGACTCAGTGGCTCTGCCGGAGACGATTGAAGGAGCAAAGAGAAACATGAAAGCTGGCCGAGCAATCGGGAGGCCAAGCTAGCATTCCAAAACATGGCACGAGATCGCTCAAAGTTTGGGACTTTAGACTGAAGCTGCTCGACCCACAGTGGCTCCACTTGACAGCCACACCTAGGCAACGGAGCGTAACGGAGCAACCCTAGCCTTTACCACTATTTACCACTGCAAGCGAGCAGCCAACTGTCGCACCAGTCGCTCGTTCAAATGCGATCTCCAGATAATCGTTGGGCTCGTGGTGAAACTTGCACTGCAGTAATTTACAAATCCTCGGTACAATGCACGTAAGAGCTTTGAAGATAACACGAAAGGCCAAGACCGGCTGCCTGCAACTGCATCTGGCTGATGCCCCCAACGTCTCTTGCAGAGCTGCTGCCAAGATGCAACATTGGCTTCTTGATGAAGGCCTTCTTTACAAGCCAGGGCCCTTCCTCCACTGCCAGAATCAGCTTGACCCGCTGTCGTCCTCGGATCTTGAACATTTCAAAAACAACGCGGCCCTCAACTTTCAACTCAAGCAACCCGTGAATCAATCCTAAACCAGACTCGCCGCCGAGGTGTTCTGAGGCGTGTGTGGCTTTTCAGGAACCTTAGGGGGAGGTGGGGCTATACTTCGGTAAATAGGCCTTATTAAACGCTCATCAGGTCCTGATTAGGGGTATGACCACAAAGCCTCGGCATCAAGGTGGGCCAAGGTGCTGGTGTCGTCGTCCCCTTGCAGGAAGCTCCTCCAGACGCGCGACCTCAACGCAAAGAGAGATGGGCAGCCTTCCAAATCGAAAAGCGGTTGAAATGTTGAGATCGGCTGCCCAGCTGCTGTGGCGAGCTGTCATCGCTCACCCACGCAGCATCCGGGTTCAAGGCCATCGTCATGATGGCCTGAGCCACTTTCGAGGCTTCGACTCATGGACTGACTCATCAATGGCTGTGGCTTCCAGGGGGCTAGCGGCTACCACATTTAGATTGTCGGAGTATCCGGTGCCTGGTAGTCTCCAAGCACGAAGTTCGTGACCAGGAGAAAGCGCTTGTCGCCTGACAAGATTGCTTGTGACACTTCAGCTTTGGCCATATTTCGTTTTCATCTGGGGCCGCTTGACGCCTACTGGCTTACGATGAGCGCCCCACCATCTTTCCTGGCACAGGCCGGATAGAAGTCCGGATGCGTGGAGACGCGAGTGACAGGACCACCCTCACCTGAGTTCTTTGTGCCCAGAATTCGTTCTGGCCAGACCAGCTGCCAAAAGCGCATGCAAACATGCCCTGTGCGGGACCGGGCTTTTTGCAAGCTTAGAGCATCACCGATGGCAACCCAATCCTCGGTGGAACCGATGCAGCTGACCCGCCTGGTATTCCCGTGCAACGTTTCAGGCCCCTTCTGCAGAAACGCGAACCTTGGGCCTTAGCCTTAGCCTTCTTCCTAAGCCCCAAGCTCTGCCACATGGCGTTGAACAAGCCTCAGGAATCTAAAAGGCTGGACGTCCTGGCTGCTGGGCCTGTCCCTTTGACCTGTTCATTGCGGACACCAACTGCTGGTGAGTGAACGAAAGCCTCCACCACCCTCTTCGTGTCCAAGCTGCGCAGTTGACCAGTTCCAACATGGTCTCTGCACAGGGAAGTTTTCGCCGATCACGGAAGTAGGTTTCCTTAAGCCGATCACGGACGAGGCTCCGTGGTCTGTGAGTTGCTGTTTGGGGAGTGGTTTGTTGAACAGCCGTTCACGCGGAGGCCTGTCCAAGCTTTGAACCAGAGTCCAGTGTGTGACGGACAACTGTGCCGAGCGTCCGATCGAATTCGCCAGTGTCTGCAGTCACCTGAGGTGGAGCTGGATGGTAGCCGCGGGACCCTCATCCCAGCAGCTTTGATAATGCTAGGGCCAGGGTTCCGCAAGGAATTTGCAGCGTAAGAACTGGAATTGTCGAGATGCCTCGATTCCAGGAATTCGGCAGGTGACCGCGAGGACAAAGCTCGCCTCAGAAATCAGAACTCTTCAGCTTGAAACATTTGCACCACGATCTTAAAACTTACTGACGACTTCGATGCTTCCATGCTACGCTGCTAGGAGCCAAAGTGCATCTGGCATGTGATCCCTCTTCCTGTGTTCGCTTACTGCAGGTCTTGCGAGAATGCTCCCGCAATCCTCCCCTATGATCCTGTCAGCAGGGGTCCGATGCAAATCAACATTCGTTCCCTTCCATGGTGGCATTCTTTGTGTGTTCTGTTGTGAAGAAGAGGAGTGAATGCCCGAGTCTTCCCGTCTTCCCTAAATTCGAACGGGGATCTGCGCTGGCGAAAGCTGCGACGAGGTGCTTTGACCTTAGCTACAGTTTGGCAAAGCATCTCTGCCAGCTGGGAACTTTCACACCAAAATGAAGACTTGACAAAATAATGATAAGACCTCCAACCAAATTTGAGTAAGTTGAGCGGCCCGGCTCCGCGCCGCCTTTGGGCGTCTTCGCGCCGTCTCGTCGTCTGAGTTGTCGCTTAAAGAGAAGAAGGCCTCCTGACGCACGGAAACCGAGTAGGGTGCAGCCCCCTGGGGCCATCGGATGCTTCATTATCTTGCATGGCTGGAGGGCTGGGGACTGTAAACTCAAGTCAAAATATAGTCGACCAGGTTCGTCGTAGCGTGCAAATTCTCAGACGAGGGTCGTCGTTCTCACCTGCCACCTCATCTTCGGCTCCATGTGGCGGCAGCCTCAACTGTGGCGGTCCATCATGCGCTACCCAGCGGCATGACAAATGTGGACTGCAGCATCATACTGTACAAACTAATTTGGCTACTCCCCGGTCGAATGTATCCTCGTGTCGGATCGCCTAGCTGACACTAGCTGTCAGGTCCATTGCGGCTGTGTCACTCAAGCGGGGTCACTCCCCGCCTCAGTTGCACCAAACTCAAAACTCCGTCGCCGCCGAATTTCCGAGCCAAAGGACTATAAAGTTTTCTTCGTGGTCGAATTCCGCCAGTGTTTACCATGACCACTCGACGGAAGAAGACGAGGCTTGTGAATTGCTTGATATTTTTATAAACGTAATATGGGAGTTTCCGAAAATTAGGGTACCCTATTTGGGGGTCCTTATAATCAGGATCCTACTATTTAGGGTACTATATTAGGGTCCCCTATTTTCTGAAACCCCCATATGAGTTAAACCTGTTCTTAATTGACTGATTGCCCTCCCGGGCCTCGCTGTCGACGACTGCAGTGCAGGGGACGAAGCGCGGCTTGAAACCTCTGCATGCCACTGCATCTTAAAACATGCATAGCAGCACCAAATGCTTGTGACGACAAAAAGCGGTGCAGTTGCAACGATGACTGCTGATTTGTTTTATGCTTCAGGTATTTTTTAAGATACTCTTGGCAATATGTGTGTTGACTGTGATTGTTGAGTCACTACGAAGAAGCATCGAGCTGCCACCATTCTGGTTAAGTTAATGAAGAGCGGCGGGTTGTAGCAGCAGCTGCAGCAGCAGCTGTTGTTGTTGTTGCTGCAGTGATAGTGGTAGTGATCGCAGCAGCGGCAGTAATCGCAGTAGGAGCATCAGTAGTAGCTGCAGGAGCCGCTGCAGTTGTAGTACGAACAGTAGCACTACCTAACATCCAGGCAGCCGTCTCATCGTCGGAAGTGCTGTGGGCGATGGCGGCGGCGGAGGGAAACGTGGGTGCTGGGCGAATCCTGGAGGCTTCCATTTGGCTTCCTCTTGCAAATCTTATAGCTTCCTGCCAGCGACATGAAAATAGGAAACAGCTGAGGAAGGGACTGCAAGTGCGCCCAGAACTTGGGATCCTCCAGCGACTGCTTCACGTCTGCTCGTTCTACAACCTGCAGGAAGCTAAGGAAAGGTTCATCCTAGACACACTGCTGGCCAACTTTAACTTCGCCGTTCTGGCTTTGATGCTTCCAGCTGAAAGCTACGGCTACCCCTGGTGCTCTGTTCCAAGGTGGCCTGGCAAACGGCGCCGACGATCAATTGCAAACGGCGCCTTCCAGGGTGCCGCTAGTACAACTGGAACAAAGTGTTCCGGCACTCCTACACAGACAAGGAAGACTTGCAGTATCCGGCATGACATGAATACCCTCGTCTTCTTGAGGCTCCAGTAGTGACAACGAATTTTGCCGGTGAGGTCCAAGCCCTACCCGAAACGTACCACTCCACCCCCCAGACCCACCCAAGGGAGCACCAGCATGTGCACGGCGCTGTTGTGGACACGTTTCGGCAGGCTGAAGCGCGCGATCGTGCGTTGGGGAGCTTCAGGGGGCGAAGAGTGTTCGAGCGCTTCGAAGGCGAACATGCCACACAGGAATGAAACCCACCCCAAGATAATTCTGCGCTACACTGTGGCAGGAGCGTTCGGGAACGCCACAGTGTTGGACTCCGCAACTCATTCGCCACACATGGCCGTAGCGTGGACTGTGGAAAGAACTCGAACACGTGCACCGCACAAGAACGGGAGCTGCGGAGGGACCGCCGGGTGCGCCTCGTGGGCAGCCAGATCCCCTTTGCGGGCACACCCCGTTTTGAGGAATCTTACTTGTCCGCACAGCCTGGAAGAGACACTGGAATGGGGGTCTTTTCAGCAACGCACACCTCCGGTGCACACGCTGGTCGTTGAAAGTCGCCTGCCTCGGTGTACTGCTTGTTATTGGCTGAGCCAGCGATTGCATCCAAAGTCTACAACAGTCTGCTATACGAGGAAGAAATACAAAGAAACTTCCCGGTGCAATCCGGCAGCAGCTTGGCGGAAGCCTGCGACACCTGCAAGTTCGACTTCACAACTGTGAGTTGATAATCTTGCGGCTCACTGTCTCGCCTTGAGAAGCTGAGCATGCGCAACGGGGCTGAGCCGATCCAGCGTGGAGATGGTCTCCTGCAGGACCGGAGGCGTCACAAGGATCCGAAGGGATGCCCCGAGCTGACTTCCCCCAACCTCACATCCAGTGAGTATGAGTATGCTACAGTGAGTGGATTTGCCGGACAGGCCCTCGGCGTGGGAACTGCCGTTAAGTTCGATTCCCGTCTAGAAAATCCCGACCGGTGCGGCCGGGGTGCCAGCATGATTGGGAACACCACCCGGGCCCGGTCTGCGCCAGCACCATCCTTGCCGCAGAGGCTCGTCCCTTTCCACAGTTCAATGTTTTAGTCCAGATGCAGCCTACACAGTTCCCTAAACCCTAAACCCTAAACCCTAAACCCCAAACCCGTTACCCGTGTTCCAAGTTGCACCTGCAAGGCACAAGTTGCACCCTAATATAGTACCCTAAATAATAGGATCCCTATTATAAGGACCCCCAAGTAAGGTACCCTAGTTTTCTGAAACTCCCATGCACGCTACTGAGGCCTTGATTATCGAAGGGGCGACAGCAAGAGCAAGAGGCCAAGCGGCGACGGTGCACTGATCGAAGTCCTTGCCGAGGGCGCTAGCGGCCGCCCTGACATGTCACATCTTGACCCAACATGAGTGAAAACGCCACTTGGGCCCGAGCTCGATGGTTTCCACCACAAGTCGCCGGTGCAGCAGAAAGAAGAGCGGCGCCAAATGTTCCTTGCGGCTGCGGCTTGGCAGAGTCATGGAGACTGGAAGGTACATTTTGGGATGTCTACTGACCACTGACCCGCAGCATTGCTGTCAAGGATCTTGGACTTCCGCCACATCCGCCTCGACCATCCATGGCTCCGGCTGTGCACGCAGCAAATACCTAAGCTTGAACTGATCGGAACAGAAGCTACATCATGAGAAGAATCTTAACACCGCCAGAGTGCAGTCTTTGGATCCACGGAGCAAAGGCCCGTGTCACCTCGTCCAGCACCGCCATGCGTGCCTTGCACGGGGGTGATGGCTCTACGCATCTCGCGCTCAGCAAGGATTTTCGTCTTTGTCTTTCCAAAGGTGCCTCGACGGAGGCTGTCTCGTAGGCCTTGAGCTGCCACTGGCTCCACCTCACCTCATGAAAGGGCGCCATGCCTGGAAAACTGTTGCTGGGCCAATGTTGCACACCCCAAAACCCTCCTGGCTTCTTCTGGCAAGGATCCATGAACTTCAAGCGCCGCAGCGTGGGTAGCTGCGTATCGCCTGGACGAGGGGGGTGAGCACTGTCGCGCAGCAAAGGCATTCCGACCATGGCGACTGCTGTGGCCTTCAGGGTGGTGCCCAGTCTCGTGCTGGAGCTCCTTCGATCGGACATCAGCCACGAAAGGCACATGAGAAGATGCAAAGACACATCAAAGAGATGACATGAAAGACCAAACTCCTTGCCTGACTGCCCCAATATCTTGCCCACCTCAGCTTTCGCCAAGAATCAGAAATCTCAAACCACATCTCGTATTGCTCATGAAGCAAACTTGCCGAGATGATGTTCCCTGTTAGAACGCCACGCCGACATGTAAAGAATTGCAAGGCCACAGCGCCAACACAATTCTGGTGCTCATGGTGGTGACAAAATCCAAGGCACTGGTAGCCGCCGGCACCGCCCACGAGGGCCGCCAACGCAAGCCCCGGGACGACAAGCCTCACACGCAGCCGCACGCCGGCGGGCTACAGGGAAGCCGAAGCTGTGACAGCAAAGTTACGGTGATGCGGCTACGCCCACGGCACCGCCCATTGCAGCACCGACCTGGGGAACAGTGACATCACAATCGGATCAGGTTCTGAATACGTTCGGCAAAAATGCTCCTTTTTTCTGGCCGGTTGCCACTGTGAGAGTTTAGTTTTTGTCTCAGCACCTGCTGCTGAAGGCTGGGGGAAGGCTGAGGCATCAGCGGCACCCAGCTTCCAGCTCCTCCACGAGCTTCGCTCCTGAACACGGCAAGTCTTTTGAAAGCCAATCCACATCTAGGGCACTGATCTATTCCAGTCTACTCTAGTCTAGATAGTCTAGCAATGTCTAGTATATTTTAACATTTTATTGTGTCTCGCCGAAATTTGAGAAGGCACACCTTGATGTACTCAGAGAAATCAGTCTCGAATTTCTCTTCGATAGTGACCTGCTCCGTGGGAAATTTACCTCAGAGAGATGCAATCAAACACCGTCCAAATGATCTGGATCATGATTCCTCCGCCGCGGCTGTCAGGACGAGAGGCTTGAGCTGGACTTCGATGCACTTCGAGACCCTGGAAAAAATCGTGGGTTGAGTGCTTCTGTCGCAGGCTTTGGGAAGCACTTGCCGGTACCAAGGCTACCTCCCTCGTCGCTGTGTGCAAGGCACTGGGAGTGCGAGACCATGCCCCACGGAGATCCCCCCCTCCTACCTTGCACAGTCACGGAACTGGGAGTGCTCGGGCATGTTCCCACCCTCGGGTGATGAGGCATCAGTCAAGAATCCCACAGCCACTTCGCCCTGCGTCTCAGCCAGGGAGCTCCGATCCCTGCTTGGTCACGGGGCTCTGCATCGTCAGCCGGCAGAGGGGCACATTCAGCTATCAAATTTGTTCAGTATTTACTGTACTGGGCGGCCAGCCCTCACGTCCAAACAGTTGGGTGTTGCTTGGGTTGGGTTGGGCGGGTCCGGTTGGTCGAAAGGCCAGCAAACAATCTTGTTTGGTAGAAATGCTGCCATGTGTGGATTGTGAACAACTGGAAACGAAAGCAGAAGTCCTACGTCAAGAGTCAAGACTCGCCCTAATCATCGAAGCTTGAACAGTGTCTTGAGCAATGTCGAAGGCTGAATGCCGTAGCTCCACGAAGCATCATTTTCGTGCCGGCCGCATGTCTGTAAGCCGAGAAGCTGCAGCCATCGAAATGTAGTCCCATTGACAGTTTCGGTCAGAGTCTTCGCTCCAAACTTCCCCTAGCGAACCCGAGCTTGTCCCATTGGCTCGCAGATCCTGTTCGAGGCAGGCACGGGAAAGTAGCTGAGAACAGAAGAGTCTGTCTGCTCGGTCGGGTATTCTGCACCTTTGCCGGAGTCCCCCAAACAATCTGCGATCGAATCCGGCCATGAGGCTGAGCCACTGACTATGGAGCGGACCTGTCCAAAGCTTCTGACATGACTCCAACTACTCACTACGTTCCAACTCTTCTGAGGTGAACAATGGTGAACATCTAAGTTTCCGTGAGGCCTGGTACTCGAAGCCCATGTGGAACATGCGGTCAGCTTCATCTAAAACCTTAGCTCCGCAGCTTGAGTTCTCCGCTCGGGGCTCTTGTGCACTTCGAGCTTGGACCAGGAAGCCTCTAGCTGAGGCTCAGGCGATGTATGTACAGCGCTGCAAGTTGCAGCCTTTCATCCTTGCAGCACAGTGCACGAAGGTCACGTAGGTCGGTTGCAGGTGTGCAGTGGATTCAAGCTGTCCCAAGTAGTCCGAGACATCAAGGCGTCCGGTCTGAGGCCTCGGCTTCACCACGTCGATGAGACGCCCGGGGTTGCAAATCGCAATCTCGGCTCCTCCTGGGAAAATGGAAACCGATTATGTTCTGGTTCTCTAAAACATAATGGCGTAAACGCCTGAACAGATGGAGGACCTTTGGATAGGGTAATTAAGAAAGAAATCAATGCTAAAGGCCGCGGAAAGGAGCCAAGCATGGCTCCGGGCACAATCTCTGAGAAGCTGAGATTCCCGCGCTTCACCTCCTTGAACTGCTCCAGTTTGCTGAGGCCACCAGCCAGCGTCACACTTCGCATGCCTCAATCTCCAAAAAGGGGGGGGAGTAAAGGCAGACGCAATTTCAAAAGGCCTTAAGCCCATCCCATTCCCTCAGAGCTCAGCCCCCCACCCAACTGCTTGTTGAACTTGAAGGTCTCGGTCTCGATCTGCACCTCAGACAAGTTGGATGAACTCTCCTACCCTCGAAAAGGACGAAACAAGAACCGATGCATAAAAACAAAGAAGGCTCTTGGGCACGGGACTGCGAGCTCTCGCGTCGGACATAGAACGATGCCTCTCTGGTCTTGGTCTGGGGGATTGAGGTCTGGGGATTGAGGGAGAATGTCCCCCAGCCCAGCCCAATAATGGATCCTGCACATGACATGAAGCCGGGCCGTGGCCTATGGGGCCATCATCCTTCTGCAGCTCTGGCCTGGACTGGTTTGAGACTGGGGTTTCTAAAATCTGTTGGAGAAACCCCCAAGAGCCAGAAGCTCACATTTCGGACTGTGCCTGATTCGAAGTAGAACATATCGGGGGCTTTGCGAGGCTAAGTATTTGTTCTACAGGATCAAAACAATATACTGTTTAATCTACGGTCTAAATGCGAGAATATACTGATATGCGAGGAGTGTGCAACACGTTGAAGTCGCAAAACGCAACTCTGCCGCGCTCTCGTGTTTTGTTCCCTGTGAACTGCTCTGCTCTCAGACTCCTAAAGCTGGGCCACGGGCTGGGCAATGGCATGCACAAGCCTTGCATCTGTCCACATTCCAGATGCGCTGCAGTCGAGGCTAGACTAGGCTCGACGGAAGGCATGGCATGCCCGGCAAGCAACAAACACTTCGGAACAGTGGCACGGATGCGACCAATCGAATCAAGCACACTTCACATAAGTGTTTACGTCCAACTGCCCGAGCAAGTCAGCAAACCTGAACACACGTACATGTGCACAGCCTTGGACATGGATGTTGCCGAGTGTCGTGGACTTGCTGGCTGCGTTGAAACCTAAACAAAACTTAAACCCCTTTAGTACAGTCATTGGATGAAAGATCGCGGTTTCATGGCTTGTCTGCGCACGAACACGCCCAAACAGGATTCATAAAGGGGTGTATGTCTTCAATGTTGGCTTCCAGCTGCAGCCTGGAAACATTGGAAGCAAATAGGCAACGGTCTTGCCACTGCCGGTCTCGGCCTCAGGCAGGAAACACAACTTGAGAAATTCACCAAGATTTTTCCTAAGGCCTCGATGCTAACGTCCGTTTTCAACACTCGACCACAGGCTCTCCAGCTTCCTGGGTCCAAATGGTGGACTTCTCGCCGACAAGAAGCTCAGCAGTCACGTCTGCTGCAGTGTCAGTGCGGGATTTCGACGAGGTGGGTGGCATGTGTGCGGGCAGAGACCTGCTAAGACGGAAATCTGCTCAAGCGAGGGGAACGCTATCCTCTCTGTCGACTAGAAGCTCTGTGCCATCACGAGAACTTGTTAACGTGGCCTGCAGGATGCTGTCTGCAGGACAGGACGTGTTGGGCGACCTTTAAGAGGTGGAAATCTCACAGTCTCGACCTCCTCCTCTCTTGACAACGACCATCGACACTCGGTGAGATTCGATAGACTTCATCCTTGATCACAAGACTCGGCAGAACCAAACCTTCCTGCATTAACACCTGCGTTGCGGCTGCAACCACTGTGGCACGCCCGAGGCTCTTGAAGCCGTCCATGCCGCCGGAACTGCGCAGCCACTCGCGTGTGACACAGCGATAGACCTCGTGGTCAGACATAGGCCGAAGATCATCACCGATTCTGATGCTCCCTTTGTCCACCCGAGCACCAGGATCCCGAGAAGGATCAAACTCAAAGCGCAGGCCACTCACATGCAGGAAGCAGCCCTTCCTCGCTGGCAGTTGCGACACTGAATGCTCCAAGGTCTCTAGCAACTCTTCGCCGCGCATATCCAGTACGCAAAGTGAGTCTTGGTAGGCCACCATGCCCAAAACGTCCTCCTGCGTCAGGACTCCTGTGTACGTCCTGTTTCCTCTCATCATGCCACCGTTGATGAAGGCAGCATCACATCGGATTTTGCTTCGACAGGATTGCAGGATACTGTCTGCGATGAAGTTTCCGACGTTCGACTCTCTCGAGCGGACGGTAGCTTCTCTGCAGTCTAAAACCACGTCAGACTGGAGCACGGGCCGTTGCAACTGCGGCCGGATAGATTGGTACACCTCGCTCTCAAATTTTGCCGCCGCTTGGTCTTGCCCACCAGACATCGAAACTCTGCGGAACTCGGAGCACCACCGCCCCGAAACGTAGGTTATTTTGGAGAACCCCTCGAAGTCCGATCCGCTTTTCAAGACTTCACCCGGGCCACGGATGCTTGTCCCGACTCTGGGGCAAATCATGTGATCGTGCCCTCCCAGGATAAGGTCAATTCCTTGAACTTCCTGGGAAAGCCTCTCATCGGAGATCATATCCATGTGGGTGAGGGCGATGACGATCTCAGCACCAAGCTCTCGCAGAATCTTCACCATGTCCTTCCCCCTGTCTACGAAATCCTGGAAGTACTGATGTCCGCCTTCGAACAGTTGGGCAGCGTTCTGGTCCATGAGCCCGAAGAAGCCTATCCTCAAGCCTTCTACGTCCTGGAGAATGTGTGACCTCAATGGCAGCTGCTTGTCCCGTGCCAGGTTCCCCAAGTTGCTGACGACCCACGGGAAGCTGCAAGCTTCAAAGAGTCTGGCACCTTCAGAGAAACCAAAGTCGAACTCATGGTTGCCCGGGCATGCAACATCGACTCCAGCCATGTTCAACGCTTTCGGCATCTGCACGCCCGCTTTCAGGGTGGACCATGTAGAACCACCAAAAGCATCGCCACTGAACAGAACCAGGACCTGCCACCGTGTGCACTTCGGACTGCTTTGAACAATATCTAATTAGTCTAAGCCTTCATCATCGCTGCTACCTGAATTGCAGTAGGGAAAAACATGGATTAGCTGTTGTGCTGTCGTTGGTCACGGTTCTTTGCAAGGTCCTCGTTCTTGCAGTCGCCGCTTCCGACAGGAATTGAACCCCATTTCTTCTCGGAAGTCGCGACTGAAAGAACGAGAATCTTGCAAACGGCAATGAACCTTGGCTTAAATTAAAACAACTATCCCCAATCAAAACGAAAATCACAGCGGCTGCCAGCCTGTCCGAAGGTGCCTTTCATGGACTCTTTCTCCTCCCTTAGTTCCTTCACAAAACGGGCAAACTTCCCGTCTTGGATGTTGTAAACGTCATTGAAGTGGAGCAGCGCCAAATCCCTCATTGAGGGCAAAAAGCTGCGAGGATTCTGACAAACCTTAAACTCGAGCCGAGCCAAAGTTTGACCTCTGCTGGCCGGACTCTGAAAGTTCTGAGATTGCAGTTGCCCTGGGCTTCCGGCTACGCCGATAACATCCCGACCTGAGGTATCTGAGACTGTCCTCCCGTGTGCATGCGGCTAGCACCTGCTGATGTAAACTGTCGTGACCAACGGTGACACTCTTCGCGGCGGCAGCATACGGATATCCTATTGCCTATTGGTCCTGCTTGTATTGGTAAGACTGGCGGCGGTTAGCCAAGCTACAACTACGGTGAAAACCCTGCACGCGAAGCACTGCGCGGGAAACTGCATAGTGTGTAATGCAAACACATAACTTCCTCACGTCATTCACGCACTTGTAATGGCCTGATGTCGATTCACTACCACTTGCCCCGCGGGGAATGGCTTGGCACCCTGCCCGACAAGGCAACGGGAATTGCCTGCGCCTGCGAGCTGCATCAGGGCATACGCGACCACCCAGTTTAGGGCACGCTGGCCGATCGCACAGTCCCAGTATCCCAAACATCCTGATCTCCAAGTGTATTCTAAGCTGCTCCGGGCACGGAGCCTGCACCACCGACAGTGGTTTCAGCATTATTGCGGAACAAGAACTGCAGCAGCAAGCAGCAGTCGCAGCGGAAGCAGCAGCAGTCATCGTCAGAAGTATTCAGTAGAATCGTCGTGGACATTAGGTCACTCGTTCGCTAGTCATCCTATTCCTGTCCTCTTCCCCCTCTTGTTCTATTCATCTTCTTGAACAGCCGCTTGAGCACAACCATGATCATGGTCATCTGCCCCATTATGAGTGCAGGAAGCTGAGTGTTGGGAGCTGTGGCACATAGCAACAGTCAAATCATTCATGAATGCGACTGACGGAGGGCCTGGATGGCGGTAGGCTGCTGGTAGCCGTGGCGTCGGATTCCCTGTGGACATGTGTGCTTCTTCGTGCAAATCCGAGTCCGTGTTTGTGTGTGGTCCTGCGAAGTCTCGCAATCAATCGCACTGAAAGCTCAAGGAAACTAGAGATTTGATGCGGCAGGTCCGCGCCTCCATGATCTCTCGACCCAGAACATGGGCAAGGTGGGCAAAGGATGTCACAGGAGCTACAACTTGCGATCCGGTCGCACCTCAGGCAATTGCATCCTCAACAGCCCGGTAGCAGACAGGCACACTGCTTGAAGCCGCCATCGAGGCTCACACTCACGCGAAGATCGACCCGTGCTTGGGCGATCTGCACTTCAGACTTCATGCTTCGTGCTATTCGATGACGGCTAGTTTTGGACAGCTGATGCGAGAAGGCTGTGCAAGAAGACCCACAGCAAACGATGCCAGCCATGATGCACAGAATCCAAATCAGCGACGTTTGCCTGCTCGTTGGTCATCTTCGCCACTTCCTCGTGAGGCTTGTAGAAGTTAGTCTGCACCTCAGATGAAGGAATCCAAGTGTCAAAAGTCGCTGGAAGCAAACTGCCCCAATTTCGTACCGGGCTCCCTGCAGGGTTGTAGCGAATTTGCGAATGATCCACCTCAGCTGCTGTTAAAGGCCTGCGACATGGCCAGCTCTCGTTGTCCTCTCTCTACCTCTTTGTAAGAATCCTGTGCAGATGGTGAGTTGGAATTGAACTTCGGCAATCCCCAACTTGGCGCACCCTCGCCAGCTATCGAAAGCCAAGCAAAAAATCATGATGTCCCAGACACTGCTGGCAGGGGCTCGATGGGCTTGTTGCGCCGGTCACCATCCTTCAGCTCTGATGTCAGAAGATCATCTCCCAAACTCCACGAAACTCGTGCAAGCCTGGCCGAGGCCTTTGCTCGACTGCCCCCCGCGCAGAAGATCCCAGACGTCTACGAAGAGTTCCCGAGTCCCTGCTTGCGCCTCGGGCTCGCCCTCATTTTCAGGGTCTCCCGACTCCGGTTCGGCCTGCTCTCGGGATCCGAATAGCCCGAAACGTGGCGAAGCTCGTCGAAGCCCGGCTTTTGCCTTCTCATAGGCCTCGAAGTAGGATGCCACGAAGTCCTGCGCGTGCTTCAAGGAGAGAAAAGGACCACACTGCAAGCTCCTGGAGGCCTCAGTGGCCTTCCTTTCTCACTGCCATGCTGTCTGCCCATGGTTTGGAGCTCAGTGCTCCGAGTCTCCGAAGTGGCACAGGGAAAGGCTATACAAATCTGTCGCAGCCAGATTGAAGCGGCAGCCAAGTAGAGCACTAGACTGGCACCTCAGGCTTACGACAAGTCCCCAGGCCCCACGCCTGAAACGCAAATTACTGATATCTGTACGTCTCTCCACGCTTCAAAGTCGAGCCTCAAGCTCAAGTGGAGTTTGACAACATTGTCGGCTCTTGCCGTTCCAATGAACCCTGCGGCGGACAGCCGCTCAGGTTCACTGACCGCCAAGCCAAGAAACAAGGACGATCCAGAGGATGTCCCCACTATCTCCGACAACAAAAAGCGATGGAGGATGGAGGCCTAGGCCTAATAAACTGCCTTCTTCGGTATACCTGGTCAGCATGCACAGAGGCTGTGGTGGACGTCCCGTCGACAGAGCCCAGGGCGAAGAACAAAAGTGAACTGTTGAGATAACTGCCCGGATAATTTGGAGGCTTCTAGCTTCTGGGCGCCATGAAATTTCCAATCGCTGCCTCGTCACTGGTTCCTCCGACTGCTGAACTTGAAACCAGGCTTCCCAACTGACTGGGAATTTCATTGGAACTTCGGCAAGCCGAGTTTCCCGTAAGTCTAGACTAGGCACGCTTTTAGATTCCCAGCCAGGCGTACCCGCCTGTGGCGCGTGCATGGACCGCGCGGAACGATGGCTCCCTGGCTTGGGGCCTTTGATAGCCGCATCCGCTCAGCTACCAGATGTCAGTAGCAAATAGGGGCAGCCTGTCGAGCGATGAGCTGTGGTTACTAGCCGGTGGTGCTCGACTTTCTTCGGCAGTCTTGCATCAAGTGGAACATAGTGGAACAACAGCTGCACTGCAGCAAGTGATCGTGCACTGCACGCGTGCAAGCGGTAACTTCAACTGTGCAAGTGGCACCTCACATCTTGCGAGGCTTCGACATGATCTTGGAGACGAGTCCAGGCAGATCCCGTGGATGATACTCCTTGGATGACAGCCTAGCAGGAAACCATGCATGACGATGTACTCTGCAGTCTCAATGAGACGAGCCTCCTATGCCTAAAACAGTCACCCAGCAAGACCAGCCTCAAAAGCCTGAAGCAGTCGGCTTCTACCTGAACTTAGCCATGCTGCAGGGGCTCAAGAACCATCCAAACCTGCCTGAAGAGCTGCATACATATGTATATGTATATGTATATGTATATGTATATGTTTATGTATATGTATATGTATATGTATATGTATATGTATATGTATATGTATATGTATATGTATATATAAACACAAATACACATGTGTACACG